AATAACAATCTGTTTTTTAACATGGAATATTGGTATTCTGGGAATGTACTCAATTCATTGGAAAGGACCACTTCACATTCAACAAGCTTATTTAATTCTTATGTCTGCGTTACTGGCGCTTGTATTCTATAAAATTTTACCAGAATGGACTGGTTGGCTTATACTTGGTGTCATATCTATATGGGGTGATAAGAAGCTGGATAAAAATTTTTTTACCATTAAGCTTTATTGTTCTGTTCTCTTTAGATCTGCTTGCTGTACTATGCCCAAAAGGACCGTTGCGAATTTTAGTTGAAACTGCTCAGGAACGAGGAGAACCTATTTTTCCTGCACTGATCTATTCTTGTAAGTATTTTTCGAGAACTCACATTAACCAAAGAGAATATATCAGTTTTTACTTTGTATAATACATGTTTGTTGGGACGTCATAGTCATATTAGACCGTTCGCTGATAATTTTATTGAATTGTTTTCTTTTTACCCTTTTAGCTACGGTGGTATATATGGTAAATACTGTTGATCCTCCCAAAGAAGAATTCACACCTATCAATACGAATACAAAACGTAAGCGGATGTGCATACGTTTTATGCATTCAAAGTTGAAATGTCTTAAGTGAAAAACTGTCTGGGTTGAAAGTTCATTTACTATTTTCACTACCAAAAATTAGATATTTATTTCCCATAGTGCAAAATATGGCTCGATAACTATTGTTTTTTTGTTGTTTGTCTCAAATGAACTAGCTGTTGAAAGAGTTGTCTGATGGATCGAACTAAGGCTCCGTCGATTTTGTTTAGAAAATACTTCAAATAACAATCCGGTTGAAGAAAATGAAAGTGGAGGTTTTAGAAATATTGTCGCACGACAGCAACCAAGGCGACAGCTTATACCACGAGCAGACGCACTGCAAGAAGATGTTCGACGAGAAGAACCCAGATATATTATTGAACCAGTATTTATCCCACATCTAAAAGATGATAATGAAAGTATGTTGAAATGGCTGACTGTAATAGCTAAAAACCAGCTAACTTTTTCCTTTTTCTTTAGAAGGCGTTAAATTGGGTCTTGGTGATTTTATATTTTATTCAATTTTGTTAGCAAAAGCAAGTGGTAAATTTCATTTAATTAAACACTACAACAATTTCTATTACTACGTTGTTCTTTTCCGTTGAATTTACTTTTAGCTCGTGGAGATTGGAGCGTGACAATAGCGTGTTATATATCATTGCTAATTGGTCTATGTTTGACTCTGTTATTATTAGCAATGTTTCGAAAAGCGTTACCAGCGCTACCCATATCAATAACGTTTGGTCTGATATTCTATTTTTCTACTGTTTATGTTATTGGACCGTTTTGTGCGCAATTAAATTTGAGACAAGTGTTTATTTGACAATAGGCGCTGCTCATGCATGCTACACCACTACTCTTTCTAGTCAATTGATTGTTGAATCCGGTTTATTTGTTGTTATTGTTTTTTTGCTTATGAATTGTTAATACTTGTACATTTTTGAGAATACATGTGTAGTTATACATTCCGTAAGTGTTGTAGTTTTTAGTTTCAATTTGTTTTTGAACACCGTTTTGCCTCGAATAGTTTGATATTAGTTTTCTCTATAATCGCTAGTGATTATAAAATTATATCAACAAATGTATTTATAAGTGTATTTTGATGTAATTCTGTGAATCTATGTTTTTTTGTTTATGTATGTAAATAAAAAATATTTCAAAATATTTATGAAACGGTCGGATAGAATGAGATTCATGATGATCCATTCATGCTCTGTTAAAAGTTAAAATGAAACCTAGTAAAACAAAAAGACCTCTATCAATTATTATAGAAGATTTTGATCATCTGTTAACAAAAAATAGCTTCCAAATATGAAATTTTGAAGTACAGAAGCTGATATTTAACTATAACTCACGGAGGTGTAGTATGGCCATCATTTATTTTCGTTGTGTCGGTCGTTGGTTTTTATATTAGTATACCATTTACATGAAACTTTGCAACCAACTGGGAAGACTGAGAACAAGCAAGAAACGAGCATGGAAAAACTCTTCTATCCTTTTGATCAAAAAATTATCTAGCAAAAACCTTTGATTTAATAACGAAATCATCGAAAACCACAATCAAAAGAACGTCCACTGTTCTACTTGTATGTTTCAATCACTCAGTATATTGTATCACGTTTTATCCTTGTGACGTTGCTCAACGAACATCCATTAGTCAAACAGACACAAAATGATCCTCCGATAGCACTACAAATGACTATTTCTTGTCCTTCATCTTATTTCTTTCACCGTTTGTCACTATGAACATATATGCGTATCAAGTATGATGTCTTATTTTTTTGAATCATTATAACGACGTCAAAGTTGATCTCTATTACTAAATATGTAATATATGACGTTATTACATATTCGTGTGATTAAATATACATTTAATTTGAACTACTTACTTCGACACAAATATTTTTCTCTTTTTTTCTATTTCATCAAATTCAGTTAACACCTTTTTCCTTGTTTTATTTCTCCTGTTAAACTATTATTAATTCAATCTAATGTTACATCATATATTTCATTATGATGTGTAGAAAATATAAACAAAAAATATCATTTAATTTCTTTTTTGGCCAAAGTATGACGTTAACAGTCTGATAAAAAGAAAATTTTTGTATAGATAAGATGATAGCGATCTAGAAATGCTCTAAGATCTAGAATACTCAAGTTTTTTACATATTTCTTATAAAATCTTAAAAAATGAGAAAAAAAAGAAAAAATAGTTCCAAAACGGATGACTGGAATATCAAAAGTTGTTATTGTTCATATGAGAATACAAAAGGGTAAATGTGTTATTTAGTTTTACTGACTGTCTCCTTATGTCATTTTTTTTAAAATAAGTACAGTAGTCTCATCATATACTCGCTGTGTAATGGAAATAGTTGCAGATAAAATACGATTTGAAGTAAATTCAAGTGGTAGACTATACTGTGTGAAGAGAGGAAAAACAGACAGTCACTGGTTGAAGTAGGCTAAGTATGATTTCACTATTAAACCTATTTTTACTTAATTATTCCAAACCTAACCGCTGCTTTCTCAGACTCGTGACGGTAGAGGAGGATGTACATCTTTCTTGCTTTTTTTTTCTAGGCATAGTATTGTACTTCCTAGAGACAGAAAGAAATTTTGAAATTTGAAAAACGTTCAGATTAAAACAAAGAGACTACTGAGATCTTTATTTTCTAAACAAAGCCAAACGACGTTTGAGTGTCCAAGCGATTTGTAACGGGTGTACCAGAAGAAATGGGTCACTTAGTATTTTGTCAATATCTCTGTCAGTTTTCATTGCCAAGACTCAAACTTCTTTTTAAAAGATTCCCTGTTCAATTTTCTACAAAAACTATATTGAACATTTTTTATATATAGTATAAATAAAAGAATATGGATGAAACATTACGAAGCTCCAGTTTCCATTACTTTGTAGCCTAAAAATTAGCTTTTAAATTTTAGTCCTTTATAACTTGCGATGTAAGATAAGAGAAAATGACCGTTTTGTAGCCCTTAAAAGCTCTCTCAACTGGTCATACTAAACTTGCCATCATTACGACTAGTTGTGGGAGAATGCCTTTTCTTTTATTCATTTTACCACAAATCAAGCCTTAAACGGTTTTGTAGCACATGAGAAAACTTTTATAAATCGGTTAAAATCGAACATTTTCGAGCCGGGGTTGTCTCATCTTAAAGCAGAATAATTCTTCTATTGCATCTTAACAGAAAAAGTTCAATAGATGCATTCTTTGTGCTGTGCCAAGGAAACTAGTCAAAATTTCCCTCTTTTTCTGGTGAATTTACTACAATCGCCGTCTGTGCCAGAAGACGCTTTTAAAACCAACCTATAATAGATGAAAAGAAAGTCGACACTTCGAAGTACCAGAGGATACATTTTGATTTTGCTTCTTATGTATAGCACTGTCTTCAAAAGTGTTTTTACGTTGAGTTTTGAGTCACAAAGTAATAGATACTGGAGCTTCGCAGTGTTTCATTCATATTCCTTTATTTATAACATGTATAAAAAATATTCAATATAGTTTTTGTAGAAAATTGAATAGGGAATCTTTTAAAAAGAAGTTTGGGTCTTGGCAATGAAAATTGACAGAAATATTGTACGAATTTTGAGTAAGGGCTGAACATTTCTCGAGCCCACTTTTTACCTTTATTTTTTCATTTTGCTTTTGTTTGAGAGCGTTACTATCTGCAGTTCTATTGTTTTTCTCTCTTTGTACAACTATATCGAAAGAATAAAGAAATTAAAATACATCTTAGAAAGGTGATTCATAGACAAGCACTTCTGAAAGACAGCGACGTAAATTTTATATATATAAAGCAAAACAAGGGTTTTGTCATTGTCACCCTTGAAAAACATGTACGATTTATATATATATTATTCTCTCTGTAGCTTCAGAAACTGTACACGATATTAGAAAAACACATCCAGCGGAATTCATAACTATTCTGAAAACATAACACGCAAGGTGAGTTATTCTGGCTTTCTTAGCCAGGTTAAAAGTTATTGGTGTGTAGAAATCATTTGCTTTTAAAGTAATCAGAATTCCATTTCAGCTTTTTACCATTTCATGCATTCAATCAGTTAGATTTTTGAGTATGTCGGCCTCGATGTCTTAAAAACTCTTATTTTTCTTAAGCAAGATGAACTCAAGAAGCTCCTTTGGTTGTTTCATGAGACGGAAAGAAAATACTATCTTTTCGTACTTTCTTATTCCAAGTCTACTAAACATACTCAGAGAAGTGAAAATGCATTCCAGTTTTCTCCGTAACATGTTAAGTCACACTCCAGTACAAAAGTTTAAAGGCTTTTGAGAGTTCTATTCGTTCCTTTTTATCATTTTCTTTTTATTTACAGAAATCACGAAATTCTAATGTAACTGTGCTGTGATACAAAAACAATGACGATTCACAACGATAACGATTTTGATATGCTGCCAAGAATGGTTCCTTATATTGGTAGGTAAAGGATGGTTTTCTTAGTAGTTGAATCAGTTTGTTACTTGATATCAAAGATTGATGCCTATAACCAGAAGAGTTCAAATAAAATACTTTTCTTTTCAGAAACTAACACACCAGACAATGACAGTCCATCACAAGTCGTACCATCGTTGTGCGACATTGGCTCCGTTCCACATGCTCCTCCTCCTCCTCCTCCTCCTCCGCCTCCATTCTTTCATCCAATGTTGGTTAATCTTCATTCGACGGAATTACCACATCAACATGTTTCGCCAGTCTTAGTGGAAGGGCAACATATTGTTCATAGGATACAAGCACGAGTATTACCAACTTGTTTATTTAGTACATCAAATATTTGGACAAAAAAAGCTGATGTGAACATAAAATTTAATCCAAGTTTCATCGAAAACTATTTTGTCGATAATAAAACATCAGTCACGCAAAAATTAGTAACCGATCGTCGTACAAATATTGTTTCAATAGGAGGAGGAGGAGAACTTGGGTCGGAAGATGTTTCGCAAGGTCTTCTACTAGATCGTTCCGTCTTGTTAATGTATGACGTTTCATTAAAATATATACTAAAAACAACCTCAATCGATCATATTATATCATCAGTTGATAATGGAAAATCCATCGAGTGTCTCGATCGTATACGTCAAATTTATAAACATTTCACGAGAAATCCAAAAGATGTTGAAAAATTTTCAACATATGCCGGTTCATTCGATGCGCTGAAACGTACCGAACAATTTCTCATGAGATTTATTCGTATTCGACATTACAACTTCAAATTTCAATGTTTATGTTTGAATGAAGATTTACAATCACAACTAGACATGTCGATGATCAGAATTCACAACCTTTTAGAAGCCATCAACCAAATTCGTCATAGTTCCAAATTACCGGGCATGTTGCATTTATTGTGTCTGTTATTCAATAGTGTTAGTCGTAAAAATGCGTGTGGTAAAATTTTTACATCTTTGTTTTGCGACTTGTCATCGCTTTGCCTATTTATCTAGGTCTCGACTTCTCGTCTATCATTAATGCATTGCAGTCGAAAACAACAAAACCTACAATTACCGTAGCCAATGTCTTGTGTATGCAATATGACCAAATTAAGTCCGACTATTTGCAATTGCCAGATGAATTACAACCACTGCTGAAAAATGTTGAAACCGTCAAATACAAACAAATTTATCAAGATATACATTCGTTATATCAACGTTTCGCCAAATTAAAACAAGATATGAAACAAATAGACGACACGTCAACCGTATCGTCTGCATTTATTTCAATGTTTCAGCAATACGGACAAAAATTTGAAATACTATTTGCAAAAGAAGATAATATTAAACAAGGTGAAAAAGCGCTAGCCGTCTATTTTTGTGATAAAAATTTGACATTAGAGACGTGTTTGTCGACGATATCTCAGTTTTGTGATAAAATTCGTCAAGCACATCAACAAAATTTACAACGTAAACGATTTGAACAAGAACAAAAACGTTTAATATCATTGAGATTGAAAACAGATTTATTTGATTCAAGAACACCAACATCACCTATGAAGAAATATCATTCAGCATCGACAAATAAAAAAAATCTTTTATCGGAAAGTGTCTTTGCTAACGAATGTTTTACATCAATAACAACATTAAAAACAACAGCACAAAAACGCAAATTTGATTTCAGTCGTAGTGCTAACAACAGTTGGGATTCAGATAAATCAGTGAAACTTCTCTAAAAGACAAAGCATAAGCAGATGCAATGAGGTTTAAAAGAAATAAGTCACGTAAGTATAGAGTTTCTAACGTGTTATCTCAAAACTATTAGATTATTAGTAAAATATGTCAGTGCGCATGATTTAGCTTCAGTTCATATATGTGAGCTGTATATAAATTGTTTTAAAGTAATGTTTTTTTATCAGTAAGATTTATAACAATTAGTTTGATAACTGCTCGTTCTGTTAAATCGGGATCGGTAATATCAAAAGGCTCAAAAGTACATGAAATACTTATCAAACATCATATTGAATTATAAAGAATAGTCATTTTCATATTCTATCCTTAGCGCACTTGTGAAGAAGTTTGAAAATGTTTTAGCTATTCTTTCTTTAGTAGTATATATACACTCATGATTTACTTTTCTTCTCCCACCAAGTTTCCAATAAATGTGCTACGAACTAAGGGGAATTTTTTATTTTATTCTGAAGAAAGGCTTTGTATAAAGTTGAACACAGGTGAAGAGGAACCGATCAATCTTTAAAAGAATCATCGAATTTTTTCTCATCACTCAATTATCTTTTGCGGAAGATAACCAAAATACTAATGCAGAAACAATTTTGTCTATAACCTTGACAATTCGGTTGTAGACAAAATGTGGCAATCTGAACAAGAAAAGCACACAAGCACAAGTGCGTCAGCCGGTGCCTCCTTGTGAAGATACAACGACGTTTCACCTCGTAACCACACGTATTCGAAAACCCACACGTATTCGAAAACAAACAATTGAAAAGGAAATTGTTTGTTACAAGATAAAAAAAAATGTTTTCTACTCTATTTTCATTTATGGAGAAGTTTTGAAAAAAATTCAATCAACTAATCTGTTTTATTCAAATGTGTTAAAAATTTGGTTCTACAAGTTTTTGTTTCATTTATTTACATATTGAACTGAATGTTATGCTATTTTATTGAAAAAGCACACAAAGTTCACATTCTTTTTCGTAGTAAACCATAGAGCCTTGTTCCGGGACTATATCTGATGCCGTTTCTCTTCAACAAAAAGTCACGTTTTACTAACCCGGAGAGAACGGAGATTGTAAAGGTAGAAAATTAGCGTGTGTAGAGTAGAGCATGAATAACCTTATACTTGAACCTACCAAACATTTACAGCTCATGTATGAACAGAGATAATATCGCTTTCATCTCTGGAGCTCGTTTTTTCTCTTAATGCATAACATAATAATGCAATGGTCAAAAATCACGTCAGTTTTGTAACCTTACACTAAGACAATTTAAGGACAGTCAAGAGTATCAACGATGAAAATAAATTTTTGAACTTCGGCACAAATTCAAATATACTGTTAAAGCATAATTTATGGATAACAAACAGAGAGAGATTAAAAACTATTACTTGAATCTGTTTTGAATACAGATCATTCTGAATAGTGTCGTGTATCAGAGAATACAAATAGATAAAAACACAATTTCTAGAGCAGAGCATAACAATTACATTAATTGATTTGAATTCATGTAGTGCTCCATCAGTGACTCGTGTAAAAATACAAGATAAACATGTTCTATTTTTTGATCGTGCAATTAAATGGAAAAACTACGGTATTGGATTTGATCGTCACAGCAACATGTTTTCCCTAGCCATGAATCCTGAGGGATTTTTTCCCTTTTACGATTATTTTTGGTTAGCATTAGGGCATTCTATTATTTTCTCAAGTAATGTTGATCAAGGCTTATATAAGCCGACTCTATGATAGAAAACCACTTATATGACAATAACTTTGAAAATCTGGAGAATTTTTCACAAAATCAACAACTTTTATGAACCGTACAATCTGGTAAAACAAAACGATGAAGGTCTCGTGTGAACGGGATTACTCCTAAAAACTTATAATTTAAGTTATTAGATGCACAACAATCAACACTTTTATTTTTTTCTCCAGTTGTAAAAGAATGACTATGTATCAAAGAAAAAAGATGTAATAACTATGAATACAAATACAGACAGTCACATTCAGTTAAAATAAAACAAAACAATAAAATGGAAGAAAGTAGAGTTTGAAAAAAAGTGTTGTTAAAAATCTACACTCTATAACAGGATTATCTTTTGTGTACAAAAAACGCAAATGGTTACACTTTTGTTTAGATAAAAGTAAAAAAAAAACGTTTGCAGTCGAAGTTTCTATGCTCTAACACTTAAATCTAAAGGCGCTGATTTTTTTAAACTATAAATAGAGATCCAATCATTTATTTCTTGGCCTTCTTTTGTTAAATTATATCCTTTTCAACGTTCACATTGCTAGTTTAAAATATCTAAAATATACAACTTGGAATAAATCTTGACTGTATTAAACGCATTGTGACAGCGGCGTAACCAGGATTTTTAGACTAATGGGCAAAAGTTCTGTTGTGTCGGAAAAAACCGATGGGCAAAATGGGCAAGGTTTTTATTGGTTTTTCAAGGTTTTTTTTATTCAACAAAGCATGGGCGGGCCGGGGAAAATGAGAAGATAATAGAGCGAACGTATTATAAAAGTATACACATACACATGGACGAGCAAGGAAAAAAAACATGCATAAGTTAAAATACAAGAAGCGATTCTTTTCTTCTTCCTTTCTTAATTCTTCACAGAAAGAACAAGCAAAGAGTGCATGTGGGATTCAGACGGAAGAAAAATACATTTACTATATAATTCAAAAATAAACAAAAAATTCTAAAAAAGTAAAATTTTAATGGGCAAATCTTCAAATGAAATGAGCAATTGTCCATTTGCCTCTCCCCCTTGGTTACGCCGCTAATTGAGAAGAATCTCGAATACAAATACTAGCGAAATCTTCACCTAACACGTTTATAAAGTAGCGGTCTGCGAGCTTAATTCAATCCGGATTCCGAGATCAAACGTGTGGGTTCATGTTTCAGAATCAGGATCTTCAATAAAAAACTTCAGGGGGTTCGGTACAAGTTTCAATCCTACAGGACGAGATCAGGATTGAGTACTGTACTAGAAAGAGCCCGTTGAATAGGTAATTTTTATATGAATCAAATAGTGTCTGCTTCTGAGTACATCCTTTTAGATCTAATAGCAACTGAACATATTAAAACAAGAAAAGAATAAGACAGCTACAAACTGATTTTCTGTATCCTTCCAGTTCAGCGTTTCCGATTAGGGTGGGGAAGTAGGAGATATCCCCACTCTAAATTTCGTCACTGTCCGCCAGATTTTCAAAATTTGTTCTGCCTAAAATTTGTCTAACCTTTTATTACCCTTTATTAATCCGCAGTGCGGAGTAATAAAACTTTTCATTTTACAAATGTTTCACTTGTTTAGAAAAATCGGTCCATCAATTTTATAAAAAACGACTGTCTGTCATAAAAATCTTTCCACCCCGATTAAAAACAAAATCGGAAACCTTGTTCCAGTTCAAGTCTCGATTAGATGACCAACATTTTTACGATATTGGTCATTCATCTGCTATTCTAAAAATGGTTTCAACTATGTCAAATGGTTGACATACTTGCATTTTCTAACTCTCAGCATTAGTTTAATATAAATATATGCACTAAATTAATAACCAATAATTTAGGTGGAACAATAGATCGCTGTTTTGCTAGTCTATGACATTTTTTAATAAAATAAATTTATTACCAGAATACAGTGTGAAAAAAAAATGTTTAGAAACAAGTCTGAAAATATCTGTTCATTATAGTCATTTTGTTTCTGACTACAAACAAAAAATTATATTGAAGTTTGTGTTTGATTTAGCCTTGTGTTCTTTTTCGATCAAAGGGATCTCTCCAAACAGGTAATCCTAAACAAAAAAGAGAAACTATTATTAAAATAATGCTGAATCTAACGAATAATAAAAACAAACCTGCAGGTTGCAAAGTTTCTTGAGGAGGTAGCTCAGCACGTGTAGTTTTCTGAATTCGTTTAAATTTTTCTATATTCATATATGGATAAACAAATACAACACCAATTCCAATACCAAGACCCAAGACAGTTCCAATTATAAGTATTCGTGACCGCAAATTAGTCAGAGTTTCTGGTGTCCGTAATAGTGGATTTGGAACACGTAGATCCGGTCTTGGAAGCTTCTTTTTGCCCTCTAGATTATCTTGCATCTTCAAAACAATAACCATACATAGAATGAGAAAATTTGGCTAATTATTTTACATCTAAGTTGTTAACTAGTCAAATAAAGATATCAGATTTATGGTGCTCTGTTGTTTAATAAAATATTGTGAATAAAAACAAAAACAGTAAAAAGATAATAACTCATGAATACAACAGATTTACTAATCAATACAAACTACTTATTAGAATAACAACCGGATCATATATAACAAATTCCAATTTATCAATTTTTTTTCTTTTCTGTTTTTCATCTATTTCATAGTGTCTACTCGAAGTCTTTTCCCAACTGAAAAGTTTGATAAAATTGATAAAGTTTGTGTCAACGTTGTCTTTTATCATTATTAGCTGGCAAGAATTCTTTGAAACTATCAAATTTTTTTTTTATAACGATGTTCGATTTCTTTTGTTTCCTTTAGTTTATAAACGTTTCTCTTTCGATGGTCAAAGTCGAGCTCGATGATAGAAAATCCACATAATTTTAATTCATGTGACTAATTAATGATATAATATGTAACCTCGTTTTGTAGTACTATATATATATAGGATGACGACTCTATATCCATAGTCGAGTGTGGTTTGTCGCTGATTGTTTCAGATCAAACATCATTCTTACCGATTCAGACCAAGAAATTACTATCTTCGAGTCGCATTAACAATTCAAGGATACATAGCTCGTTGTTTAATGATTCGAAATTTTTGGCCATTTGGCTTGGTTGAAAGGTAATTATCAGGTGGAAATAGTACATATCGTATGAGATATGCAATGAAATAGTTCGCATCAAATCCTGTCAAACTGTTTATCATAAATTTACGTAGCATAGATAATAAAAACACGGAAGAATCGATTTCATTTCACTGTTGTAACAAAAGTATCCATTTCGCATTGGCAGATTATACTACCTCTTCTTAAACTGATGATTTCTCCACATAAGTGATTCAATTCAAATCTGTATTACTAAAGTATAATGCTAACTGACTGGAATAAATTACCAGAATCAATGATTTTTTTTTCTTCTTTATCATCATCTAAACGAGTTCTGTCTATACATCTCTTACAGTTAAGTACAGCTATATTTCTACTATCCATTTCAAAATAGAATGCAGCATTAGGAGAAATCGAATAGTTCCGCAACGCAAGAAGCTATTGAGATGCGGTTTTTTGCATTCAAGACCCACATATGGGACTTGTATCAAATACAGTGTAGAAACGTTTTTTTGGCCTTTCGCGGGGATGGAAGGGATGTAGTGGAGTTTCTGGAAAACGTCTGATTTTTGCGAGGGACGGAGTTTTGATTTTCAAGTTTGAGACGTGTAATCGATAGCAGGAACATTTCCATACAATTCTGTCTGATCAGAAAAAATTTCTGACTTCACATTCGAAAACCTGGTCTCAAATGCCGAGAGTCCCAAAACTGGAATTTTCAGTCGCGGGTTTTCAAGATTTATCGATCATCGTAGACCAATCGCTGAACAGAGTGTATATTCGGAATCAGCGTGCAAAACTGCGTCGAATGACATGTCTTTGAGTTTCATTTGATGACTTTCATTTTTCACTATGTACGTGCCATGAGAGCGATATGGTGTAGTGACTAAAATGAAAGTTATCAAATGAAGCTCAAAGACGTATCATTCGACGCAGTTTTGCACGCTGATTCCGAATATACACTCTGTTCAGTGATTGGTCTACGATGAAGGGTCGATAAACCTCGAAAACCCGCTAAAATCACTGAAAATTCCAGTTTTGGGACTCTCGGTATTTGAGACCGGGTTTTCGATTGTGAAGTCAGAAAGTTTTCTTTACTGTGTGTTCATTTGTTTACTTGGTCTGTCTGTCCGTTACTTTAGTTTTCTTTTATCAAACTGTCTTTGCTATTTTATTGGCTCGAATCATTGTTATCATAGATCGGGGACCTTTGATAACTCTTACTTTTTGGGAATAAATAATAATAACTAACTACGTTTCTGTCTAATTGTCAACTCATTTCACATCAAAACAGAACTTAGAGTAACGCAATTCAACTACAGATCTCTGATTTCTTATTAAAAATTGTCTTTGAAACGTGTTGCATCATATAAACTGAAAGATAAATATAACTCCATCCTATATCGATAAAATTTTAAATTACTATTTGCATCATATTAGAAATATATGATTTTTTCGATAAATAATCTGTACTTTCTATTTTATCTCAATTCTATTTCAACTAAGACAAAAAACGCTGAGAAATAAGAAAAATTATCGATTGTATGGTAAATTAACAATGAAGCATTTATTTGAGATAAACAAAAACGAGAAATTAATAACAACGATTGTATGAGTCAGTTTCAGAAGAACAACAAGAAAAAAAACCTCGCTAATGTTTCATTATATTAAATAACTTTTCTCAAACAACAACAACTTGTCATCGAAAAAAGCTACAGAAATTTTTTTTCTATGATGATAAAGTCAAATCGACTCGTTGAAACGCTCAATCGAATCAATGAGTTTGACTGGTTGGAAAAAGGACAATTTCACAACATATAACAACAAGAACGAACAGAAAAAAAAGAGTAGACGAGTTCTTTTAATCTAATCAAATGAAACATATTTGTCTAACAAATGATGTTGTGTTAATCCAAATTGTTGGTCATTTATCAATGTAGAAAATAAGAATTATTTGATTAGAAAGCTAAATAAATAAAACAAGAAAATAAATATACGTACAAACTCAACACAAACTTTTTAAATAACATTTGGCTGAAGATAGATGCAGACTTGTGGTTTTTGTTAGTCGCGAGAGAAAACTTGGAGACATTTTTTTCATAAGCAATTTTCAAAATATGTTTTCAAGAAGATTTTCTAGCAGGGGGTCGTATCACGAAAAAACTTAAGCCTCTAGACTTAAGTGTATAAAATTAGCACGTAAGTGTACATAACGAAGACTTAAGTCCAAATTTTGACTTAAGTTTTTTGTGATACGGCCCCCTGGTCTAAAAAGGAAGCTGTAGTCTAAGACGATGAATTTGATATTTTTTCACGGGTGGATATTCCAGTGTCCTCTTTAAAATAGGGCTGCTACATTATTATTACTAGTAATAAGTAATAACAAAAGCTATATTTTCCAGTTTTCGAAAAGAAGAAAAGTTACCTTATAAACTTTAAAATTTGGCAACTCAAACTTACAGAATATTGATAATCTATCATGATGACTCGGTCAGAAGTAGTTTCAGATTCTTTGGGATTTCTAGCGGACGTCCATAAAACTCTTTAGATTTGTATTAGATTGAGCACTTTTTACATTCAATTTGAGAAGTTCGCAGTATTCCTCACCTATGCTGGTTGTGGCTCACGCGACCAAAGGGTCGTGTGAGCGTTGTCTTGGATTCGAAAATATTTTCAGTAATATGCGAGTCTTTGATGCGTCTCAAAAATCCTTTTAATATTTATATTAGATGACGAATCTTCCACGTCCACATGAAATCAGAGAAGAATCCACAAGATACCGTAGTTAGACTCGCTGGGATTCAAAAGCCACAGAAGAGAGTTCGCTAGCGCATTTATAAGTACGTAAAGGCAAGTGACGCGTGCAGACGAGCGTTACCTTGTCAAATAAAAGATCTACATCAATATATTAATATATTTTGA